TTTTTTTTTTTTTTAAATTGAGGGAGGAAAGGAAAATAAGTGAATACTTTAAAGCAAAACTTTAGCAAGTTGGATTTGTGTCTAGGTTATCTCCTGCTGCTGTCCAAATTGCCCTGTGTGTTTGTTTATGTTGAGCCTTGGCAGGGCAGTGGCTCCTGACTTTGGGGTGTGTTTTACTGGTCCCGCTGAGAAGTGTTTGGCTACACTTTCAAAGTTTTTCGGTTCTGAGGGTTTTTTTCCCCCTTTGGTGGATTTTTGCGCTCTCGACGCGGTTAACAGCGAGGTAACGTGTTTCTGCGCTCTGGTGATTTTAATAAACCCTYCCGCGTCGGTGTCAATCAGCGCCGGAGCAGCCGCGCCGCGGGCGCTGGGGACGGGCGCTGTGTCGGAGCGGTGCGCGCCGTGCGGGACACGATGCGCCACTCCCAGCCCTGTGGTTTTCAAACTCCCCAAAACGCTGGTCTGGCGACTGCGAACCAGGCACTGGGAGCTGCTGGTCAGCGTGCTGGAGGGGGCTCAGCAGCGAGACAGTATTTTCTTTCTTTTTTTTTTTTTTTTTTTTTTTAATTTCCTGGAGCTCTTTGTTCTGGGTGGTGGACAGCTTTTGTCTGTTATTGCTGAGCCCGGCATTCAAAGGCAGGCATAGGATACGAGAGGCTCCCCAGCTCTGCTCAGTAACAGCCTTGGAATTAAACATCGTCATTTATATTTAAGTAGGCTTAACTTCTAAATTATTGAAGCTATAAGCTTTCACTAATTTCTACTCTGTGTGGCTTTGTTGTCTTTTTTTCAGACGCAAAAAAAGGATTGCTTTCTCCTAAATTGGTGTAATACCCTGTCTTTTTTCTTAATATACACAGAGAGTATCAGGTATCATTTCCCCAGTAACACTCAGAGACTCTATATGAAATTCAAGCCCACGTTCGGGCTTAGTCTCTCTCGGGGGTTCAACAGGAGAATCTCAGGACTTGGTTTTCCCGCGTGGAGGCAGCAGGCAGCTCATGAAATGGGACAGGAATCTCACAGCCGTATCCTCGTGCACCACGTTTGGGACCTGTGCTCGGGGTGAAGCTGGTGCAGGGGTGTGAGTGTGCAGCCAGTCGTGCCTGTGGCACTCAGGTGCCTGCTGGGGTCACAAGTAAACTTTGGAAGTATATAAAGCAAGGTGAGAAAGAGGACAGGTTGGTCCCCTCTTGATCTGCCCTGCCACCCCCTTCAAAGGGAGTTAGGAACACTAAGCTGTTGTAATTGCACCTCCTCTTGTTACTGTCAGGCTCTGGATCTTGTACAGACCAAGTTCTTGTGCTCACTTASGAGCTGGCAGAGAGTTCCAGGGGAAGGGATCTGGGCACAGGGTCCCAGATCCAGGGTTACAGCCYGGTTCCTCACTCCTCTCTGTCCTCTTCAATCCCAGTTTTGGCCCATGTGCTGTGAGCCTGGCATGAGCCAGTGTGGAGCAGCACTGCTCGGCAGAGAGCTGAAAACACTGCTCTCATTTTATGTGTGCATATAAGAAAATCTCTGCCCCTCTTTTCTGTCTGCCTGAACTTTTTATTTCTGATTTTCCTTATTTTTTTTTATTTCTGATTTCCTTATTTTTTTTCTGATTCCTTATTTTTAAAATTTTTCCTTATTTTTCACACTACCACAGTGTGTGAAGTGCCAAGCAGTGACCCCGTGCAATGCCAGCCCCTTGTTTCACAA